AAAACCCAAGGGGACCATCTCAAGACCCATCAGGACCATCCCAAGACCCAACGGGACCATCTCAAGACTCAACGGGACCATCCCAAAGCCCAACTGGGTCAACGGGACCATCTCAAAACCCAACGGAACCATCTCAAGACCCAACGGGACCAAGACAAAGCCCAAATGGGTCAACGGGACCAACTCAAGACCCAATGGGACCATCTCAAGACCCAACGGGACCATCTTAAGAACCAACGGGACCATCTCAAGACCCAACGGGACCAACCCAAAGCCCAACTGGGTCAACGGGACCATCTCAAAACCCAACGGGACCATCTCAAGACCCAATGGGACCAACCCAAAGCCCAACTGGGTCAACGGGACCATCTCAAGACCCAACGGGACCATCTCAAAACCCAAGGGGACCAATTCAAGACCCAACGGAACCATCTCAAGACCCAACGGGACCATCTCAAGACCCAAGGGGACCAACCCAAACCCCAACTGGGTCAACGGGATCCACTCAAGACCCAACGGGACCATCTCAAAACCCAACGGGACCATCTCAAAGCCCAACGGGACCAACCCAAAGCCCAACTGGGTCAACGGGATCCACTCAAGACCCAACGGGATCCACTCAAGACCCAACGGGACCATCTCAAAACCCAACGGGACCATCTCAAGACCCAAGAAAGGTGGTGTCCACCCCCCGCCTTGTGGTGGCCTCACATCGAAGATCTCGAAGCCGGCGATGTCCAGGACGCCGATGAAGTACTGCCGGGGCTGCTTGGTCTCCAGCGAGTTGTTGATCCTGGTCACCATCCAGTTGAACATCTTCTCGTAGACGGCTTTGGCCAAGGCCCCAACGGCGTAAATCACCTTGGGACGGGGCAGAAGGTCCAGCTCGTGGTGAGGTGGGCCCCGGGGGGGGATGGGGGTGAGGATGAGGGAGGGTGGGACCTTCCTCACCTGCTGGACGTTCTGCCCTTTGGTGACGTACTCGTTGCCCACCTTCACCCGGGGGTGACACAAACCCTTGAGGAGATCGGCCGAGTTCAAGCCCATCAGATACGCCGACTTGTCCGCTTCTGGAGGACGTTGGGGGGGGGGGGGGGGGGGAGGGGGAGGATTGGGGAGCCCCAAAACTTCGGGGAGGGTGTCTTAAAAAATCACGGGGGGAGAAACGAAAGCATTCAC